CACATTAATTTAGAATCATAGGATGGTTTGAGTTGGAAGGGACCTCAAAGATCATCCAGTTCCAACCCCCCTGCCATGGGCAGGGACACCCTCCACTACACCAGGTTGCCCAAAGCCTCATCCAACCTGGCCTGGAACACTTCCAGGGATGGGGCATCTACAGCTTCTCTGGGCAACCTGTGCCAGTGCCTCACCACCCTCTGAGTGAAGAATTTCTTCCTTAGATCCAATCTAAATCTCCCCTCTTTCAGTTTAAATCCATTGCCCCGTGTCCTGTCACTACACACCCTTGTAAAAAGTCCCTCTCCAGCTTTCCTGTAGCCCCTTTAGGCACTGGAAGGCTGCAATAAGATCCCCCCGGAGCCTTCTCTTCTCCAGGCTGAACAGCCCCAACTCTCTCAGCCTGTGTCCAGAGCAGAGCTGCTCCAGCCCTCGGATCATCTCTGTGGCCTCCTCTGGACCCGCTCCAGCAGCTCCATGTCCTTCTTGTGCTGGGGATAGTGCCTTTATTCTCGGGTCTCAAACTATGCCCTCAATCCCAGCTGCCTGGTGACGCAGCTGCAGATGTGGCCAGCAGGTACGTGTCAGTTGTCTGAGCGGATGTTGTTGTGCAGGAAGGGCAGGCTGAGAGGAGTTTGTCAGTCCTCTTGCACTTGCTGTCCAGCACTCTCGTGTATCTGTACTGGTATTTCTGTTAGCACAGTCATCAAGCATGTAATTGCTGTTATTACAGTCGTGCAAACTGGCTTTTGCTGTGATTTGTGCTCCGTGGTGCCAGGCAGAGCCTCTAGCTCGAAAGGAGAAATTTTCCATCTGGTGAAAATGTCAATTCTGGACAAACAGGAAAAAGCAAACATGTTGTTTTGTCAGAGTGGAAATTCTAAGTGATATTTTAGCTTTGGCTCTTTCTTTTTGTTTGTTTCAGTGATCTTTCACCTCAAAAGGTAAATTGGGCAGTTGCTGTACCAGGGAGAAGCACTTACCCACCCCAGACACGAGTGCAGCTGAGCAGCCAGGACGCCTGCAGCAACTGAAGTTGCTGTACTGGAGGGTCCTGGGCGAGCTCACTGGTGTTAGTCCCTCGCCAGAGGCTCTCACGCGGAGTAAGTGCACAGACACGTACTTGAATCTGGGAAATCATCCATACCTACCTTCACAGCCGCTGTCAGTCACTTTAAGCTTTCCAAGCTTAAAAGACGTGGTGGGATGGCTGCTCCCTACCAGCCCTCATGTGGCCCTCACGCTGACAGCTGTCACTGGGAACACTGGTTTCCATTGGCACTGTCCCAGTGAGGATGGGCAGCAGAGCTGAGGACAGAGCTGTGCTGTGGGTTCACTAGACGTGGACGTCAGCGAAGGATGGCCCAGGTTCCTCGGCCTCTTTTCACGTTGTGATGGGGCCTGGCCTAATCCTGAATGAGCAGGAAAGAAGCGGCGCCGCCGGCAGTCCGAGTTTTCCATAGTGGTTTCCCAGACACGGAAGAAGCCTGGCCCCGCTGAGCTTCTCCTGACCATTGAAGCAAGAACCTGGGTCGCAAGCACCTGCCTCTGAAAAACACTTGGCTGGGGTGTGGGGCAGCCAGGTGAGGAAGGTGATGGATGCAGACAGGAGATTCCTCATTCTTGGCTCTATTCGGCTGGCCTGGCTGTTCCTTCCTCTTGATTTACTGGGATGGAACAGCATATACTGGTGCTGATGGTCTAAACCAGCGCGCTGCTGGGATTCAGACTCCAGTGGGCAGCTTGCCACGTACGTAGGGAGAAGATGAAATGCTAAAGGCTGCACACTTCTCTTATTCAAGGAGAGTAATAAAGCAGATTTTATTTGACTTGTATAAATCCACTTTAATTGGCTTTCCCGCTAACGCTTTCATTAACATGTAAATTAGCTGTCCTAGAGCTGTTAATTATCTTTGCACAAAATGTTGGATACGGTCATATAACGTACTCCTTTCTTTTTTTCACTGCTCTTAATGTTTTGTACCGAAACGTGCCCATAAATATTCGCTGTGGTTTTTTTGAAGAGGAGGACAAAGAGGCTCAGGCTGTGCCATCTTGTAGGGAAACAACTGCCTGGCTTCGGCAGTGTGTGCCAGCCTGCCACCACGTTAAACCCACACTCACGCAGGATGCTTACCACTGGGTTTTAGTGGTTTGGCCTTGGAAGGGTTTTGGGAATTTTTAAAGTGTGTGGCAAAGGAGGGAGCCAGAGGCAGCGTCCTCTCCTACAGGATGTCTTGTGTTCACAGTTTGGTAGTGGCAGTGAAACAGGGAAGCAGTACAAAGAGGCTGAATTCCCAGTTTCCAAGAATCTGAGAACAAGCTAATTAATTTCCCTATGGAAAAAAGAAAACAAACCTCTGAACTTTTATTACACCTTTTCTGCAGAAAACATCTGAAAACGAGAGGCTTTTTTCAGCTTCACCAACTGCTTAAAAACGCTCTCCGTAGTTTCATAGAAGATCTTGATGCTTCTCTTAACAAGCTGCCAGGACACGTTGCCATCACCATTTGCAGCTGCTCCCTTTGAACCCGTGGCACCTACAGCACGTTTTACTGCACGGGCAGGGCAAAGCCAGCAGGTAACGGGCACCCTGGAGTACCCCTGCCAAAATCCTGGGCTGCTGAGAAGCACGGCTGCTGGCTTGCTGGTAAATGAGAGATGGCATCATGACAAGGATCATGTCTGCAACACTTCACGAGCCAACCCACGATGGTGAGTGACCTATAGATCCACCAGAAACACTCGTCCTGTGGGCTCTGGTGGAATACTGGGAAAACGTGCGGGAGAAGGAAAGCAGGCACGCAGGAGTGCTTGCCTGGAGTTTCTCCAGTGGTTAACGGGATGCTTCCCCTAGCTCGGCTGCTTAAATTTGTCCTCGGTCTTACCTGCAGTTGTTCCATGTCTACTTCCATGTCTTACCCTTCCCAGCTCACGGTCCATGATGGTGTTGCTTCTCGGGGCTGCCTGGCCCACTGCTGCAGCACGGCTTTTCCGCAGCTGCCGAGGAAATCTGCTTAGGGATATGGTTTAACGGGGATTAGGGACGGTTGGACTCGATGATCTCTAAGGTCTTTTCCAACCTAGAAATCTATGAAATCGGGAAGCACGCAGCAGCTCTTCCCCAGTACAAAACCATCATCCTGCAGCGCTGACCATCAGCAGTAGCTCTATGTGCTGCCACCCCACCAGGCTGGTGCCCAAGCTGGGCTGTGCTGGGAGTGGGCAAGCTCACTGTCAGGCCATGAGCCACTGCTCCTCTCTGCAAGAAGGTGCTGCCATCCCAGTCGTGTGCTGGTGGCGCAGTGTCTGGACGGAACACACCGTGTTGCCTGGGCATAAACTTTGGTTCCAAGACCAGCTCTCCCTACGTGCGCTGTGGAAGTGAGAGACTGACATGGCATTTTCTTACAAAGCAGCACAATGGGAACGGGGACACCACGGAACTCTGCTCTTGTGAGACCCCCACCTGGAATACTGTGTTCAGCTCTGGAGTCCCCAACACAAGAAGGACATGGAGCTGCTGGAGCGGGGCCAAGC